TGTAGCTGCTGTTGTTTTTAACTCTTTAGGGGCCCACTACCCAGCTCCCAAATAAATACATATACATAGAGACTTATTCTTACTTACGAATGCTCAGCCTTAGCTTGGCTTGTTTCTAGCAAGCTTTTCTAACTTAAATTATCCTGTCTACCTTTTGCCTCTGGGCTATTATTATTATTATTATTATTATTTCGCCTCTATGCACCTTTCTTTCCTTCCTACTCCATGGGTCGTTGTGGCAGCTGGGGGGCTGGCCCATCCACATCCTCTCTCCTCCTTTTGTGGCTCTCCCCGTCTCTCCTGCCTTACTTATTCTCTCTGCCTGGCAGCCCTGCCCACCCTCTCCCGTCAGCTACTGGCTGTTCAGCTCTTTATTAGACCAGTGACCAACCAGATGTTTTAGGCAGACAAGCTAACACAGCTTTACAGAGTTAAAGCAAAGGCAGCGCATCTTTGCATCGTTGAACAGATATTTCACAGCACAAAAGAAGGTAGCAGGTCGTCAAATAACACTCCACAACAAGCAGGGAGGGGAGTGGAAATACAGCGGAGAGAAGCAGGAGAGAGGTCGCTGGGGGCGGGCGCCTCGGAGGCTGTGGGAGGCTCGGGCGATGACTTCAGGTGGGCTCCTTTTGTGACAGGGCTCAGACTGGACTTTCACCTGACCTCTTACTTGCGCCTTAAGCTCAGTGATTTGAGACAAACCACACGCAGAGTCAGAGAAAGCCGTCTCTTCCTGTTGCACACTACCGCCTCCTCGCCTTCCTGAGAGTTCGGATCCGATACAAACTGTTGCATAAGCTCTGACACCACTCAACACCTCGTCCAGCCCCTTTCTGATAAAAATCTTGTTTATAAGCCACTCTGTAATTTAACTCCGGCGAGAGAAGCCTTCGTTAAGTACAAAAGTGAGTATACACATTGTAGCATTTGCAGGCTTCTCTAGTCTGTCTTTCTTCTTGTGGATTTAGAGAGGAAGACTTAGGGCTGGGAACACAGCTCCTTTCGGGCAGAAAGCTTGCCGAGCATGCGAGAGTCCGGAGCGCAATCCCCAGCACAGCACACACCAGGCATGGTGGTGCACGCTCAAAATCCCAGCACCAGAGAGGGAGAGCCTGAAGCGCAGCGGCCATCCTCAGCTAGAGTGAGCTCAACATCAGCTTGGCCTTTAAAAAAAAAAAAAAGAAAGTACAAAGTTACTGTCTTCCCATTTTGCAACCCTTGGTTCAAAGAAGGTCAGACCCTGAAGGTGCAAGCCTAACTGTGTCCCTTTTGGAGCTCCATCTTGGACAAAATGAGGAAATGGAAGGAGAGGGAGCCCGTCACAGTGGCCAGCCCTGCCCGTGGCTCTATCCTTTGCTTTTCCCACCTGCTGAAGCCTGTGTGTGTGTGTGTGTGTGTGTGTGTGTGTGTGTGTGTGTGTGTGTGTGTGTGTTTGGGGGGTTTTGAGACAGGGTTTCTCTGTGACTTCAGAGGCTGTCCTGGAACTCGCTCTTGTAGACCAGCCTGGTCTCAAATTCAGAGACCTGCCTGCCTCTGCCTCCTGAGTTCTGGGATTAAAGGTGTGTTTTTTGTGTTTCTTTGGCTCATGTCCCATTCCTCCATCTCCAAGGTGGCCATAAACACCTTATTTAAGTACCTGCCAGGGCTTCTCAGCCATCACCTGCTGTGCCTGGCCCCTGCCTCTTATCGGTGGGGGGGGGCTTTATGATGATGTTGGGTCCGTAGCAGCTTGCCCTATCGGCCCCATAGAGACGGCTGCAGAGCATCTAGCCAGGCACAGGACCCACGGGGCCTAGGGATTCCAACATGTACACTTTCAGGGACCCTGCGCGGTCTACAATGGCATGCTTCATTCTTCTTGCTCATTGACTCCTGATACATTCAAGATCTGGTGACTTGGTGAGTATTATGTCATCACTGTCACCCCCAGAGAAACCTACAGCCCAATGCAAGAGCCCAGAACAGGTGTCTCTGAGTCGCCCTTGTTCCATGCTATGAAAAGTTCTAATAAACTTAGCCTAATATTGTCCTTGGCATTTTTTTGTCATTAGAAAGAGAAATTATGGTCGGCCGTACGTTTTAAGAATACTCACTTTTGTACCTTGAGAGATGCTGAAGTTTGAACCCCACTTTTACTCTATGCTTCAAAGGAGCTAGCCAGCGTCTCCACAACACGGACAGTCACACCTGACTTTTCAGGCAGATGCATTTTTTTGAACACCTCAAACGATCTTTTGGCTCCCGGAACCTGTGGTAATCCTTCAGTCTGCCTTCTCCAGACACGCAAGCACAGCGCTTGATGAAATCGAAGGTGTGCGCCGGGCGTTGGTGGCTCACGCCTTTAATCCCAGCACTTGAGAGGCAGAGGCAGGCGGATCTCTGTGAATTCGAGGCCAGCCTGGTCTACAAGAGCTAGTTCCAGGACAGCCTCCAAAGCCATAGAGAAACCCTGTCTCGAAAAACCAAGGTGTACAAGGAGACGGCAGAAGCGATTCGCCGGCCAGGCCATCTGCGGTTTCCCAAGTGCAAAGCCACCTTCCTAGGGGATGTCCCAGCAGGGGAGACATTCTGCCAGTGGGCAGAGGGAGGGAGGGAGCCACAGGAAGCCTGAGCTACTAACTCAACACCCGGGGTAGGTCACAGGAGTGTAGACAGTCTGCCTGCTTCCCCATTTGTCAAAAGGCAGTCGCTGTCCTGTGTCTCCTCACCTGAATGCCCCTGTTAGTTCTGCTCCTCACCCAGGCACCCCGGGTTCAACACCACCCCCAGGCTACTTAAGCCACAGCAAGCGCATCCATGTGCAACAGCACTAGAACACACTTTAAGTGAAAACACTGCCCGTGTTAATCTGTGAGGCTGGGTTAAAACCAAGATTCTAAATCAAAAACAAACAAAAGGATCCCCAAACAAAACATGCTATTCCTCTATCCCACGTAACTCAAAATAGAAACTGACACTAAACCACATCTTAATAAGGTGTAACTCGGGACAGAAGGGCTGGCTTAAGCCCCCGCAATTCCTGTGACTTTTAAAGTGAACATCAAGTGATTTAAAAAAAAAAAACTCTTTCCCTGATTCTTTGGGTGGCCACACCTTCCTGGTTGGATTCATTCAGCTTTGCTGTGGAGCTTGCTGGACCGAATCACAGAGAATTCTTCATTTTGAACGTTTAAGGCAGTTATTGGAAAGTCCAAGGGGATGGGAAGCAAGCTGCTTCCTGTCCGGCCTCTGGCTCCACCACCGCCGGGTGAGATTTTTAATGGTTTTTCCACGGATGGTGGAGCGTGCCTGCTCTGCAAGCATCGGAATATACGCTTGACGAGTACCGAGTGCTCAGTGCATGGTTTACTACTGAAGGACCTTTCTTTGCCTGCCTGCCACTCTGAAATAGGCATTCGCGCTCCTGTAAATACCTACAGTGTTAGCAGTCCTCGGGAAATGTCCTAAGGAAATAAAGATAGGGAAAGCAGCCCTGACCTCAGTTTACAGCCCAGAAACAGGTAAGGCAAATGCAGGTGTCACAGACGGCCGGATGGGAGACGCAGCAGTACCCGAAACGACTGCCCATTCTGAAGGCGCAGAAAAACGCCTCCGTTGTCACAATTGCTGACTCTCTACCGCAGGCTCACCTGTTTCTAAAACAGCCACTCTTGTTCAGCTCCTGTCACACAGTGCACGGGGTTGTCTGTGGGGAGATGGAGAGCTTCTGGAAAACCCCTGTTGTCTCAGAAGGCCGTTTCTTCCCAGGAGGACTAGATGGAAAGCTGGCATGCAGCAGCTGGTAAGACAGCATTGACTGGAGTTACACATTCTGAGGTCAACCGGGCACTAAGGTTTTAGTGTGTACCCAGAGTCAAGCAACCTGAGGTATGGGAGAGTGTGGACGTATCAGGAAGCAGTGTGGGCAGGCGTTGGTCAAACTGGCTTCGCCAGTCTTGCTTTCCGTGTTTATCAGGCGTAGTCCCTTTCCGACGTTATCCACTCAAAAACTGAGGTGGGGGGGGCGGGCTGGAGAGATGCCTCGGTGGCTTGGACCCTAGACCTCCCATCAGGCATCACACAATCCCCTGGAACTCCAGCCCTGTGGGCATTTGACCCCATCTTCTTGCCTCCCCAGGAGCCCGCATTTGTGAGACCCACTCACACAGACCCACATGCATATAAAAATTTTTTAAATTAAAAAAGAGGGGTTTAAGAGATGGCTCAGCAGTTAATCACTCTTGCTGCTCTCCAAGGGCCCAGGTTTGAATCCCAGCACCTATACAATAGCTAACCACCCGTAATCCCAGTTCCAGAGGATTCAATGACCCTTTGACCTCTGAGGGCACCAGGCACACAAAAATGCAAAACACACACACACAGGAAAAACTAACCTTAAGAACAATGTTTCTTTTCCCTGCAAGGCTGGTATGACGCAGCTTCTGACACCTCCCTCTCTCAACTCCCACCTTTATCCTGGTCTCGGTTGTTTGCCTTCAACCCTACCGCACCTTGAACTCTTTTCTAATCACATCCACACTTTTTTTTTTTTTTGGAAAATCTATTGTCTATTCCCTTGTGCATTCACCCACTTCCAATCAGCTTTTAAACTGTCTCCTAGACAGACATGCAAGTTCTTGAAGCTTTTCATCTCATTACCTATGACGCCCTGACGCGAACTTACTGAGGGACCACCTTCTGCATTAATCATATAGACATAAAGCCATTCTCATTCGCAAATTCTGCTTAACACTAAGAACTAAATTACCTAGAGGGGGCAGGTTAGCCATTAAGCAATGCTCTGCAGGTGTATGCTTATAACCAAGCATTTTCACAGCCTTACTGGCACAGCAGTTGAGTGAAGGAACCCTTCCCGTCCCTGGGGCAGGCTGTGATCATCCATTTTCTTGCAAACTACTGCCCTACTGTGTGTGCTATAGCCCATTTCCCCTTTACCCACCACAGTCTAAGAGGGAAGGAGCCACATGCATAAGACAAAGCAGATATTAAAGTCCGTCTAGTTTTTTACTTGACTTTTAATAGATGAGAAGAAACACAGTAGTCTTGTCTCATATAGAACATTTATAATACATTAACAATCCATAAAGCCTCGTGGTGAGGTAGGAAGAGCTTTGGAAATAACACACAGTCATAAAGCACACAGCAACTAGGGAAAGCGTTGCTGCACCTGAGTTCTGTATGCACCAGCGCTCAGCGAGATGAGAACCTCGTCAACGGCACGGTTGGCCCAGAGGACAGGTGGCAGCAGACAAAACCAACACGAGGAAAGTCTCAAAGAGTCGCAGACACTGACACTCCATTGTGCTGTTTCAAGGCAGACCCCTAACATAGCGGTCTGTGTATTTTTATATAACCACATATTAACTCTACGTTACATTCTCCCTCAGCATCTTTCTGCCAGACACCGAACCTTAATATTTTTTTGGTTTAAACGTTTAAATTGATTAATATAAAAAAGGCTCTTGTGCCAGTGAAAATGACTGCTAAATATTCCAGAGCTTGTTAGTAAAACAAAATAGCATCACCATATACACATACGTTATGCATATATGCAGCGCTGTATCAAAATAGTGTGATTACAGTCCCATTTCCCAGACCAGACCATGAAGCTCTAGGACAGTTTCAATTACAAATAAAGACAACACAAACCCTTCCACCTTCCCAAGACCTCTTAACACTGTTTTATCACTTAACTGAAACATAGTATTAAAATATTTTCTATTGTAGAATCACACTCCTTATTTGTGTATGACTACCTTAAGACAGCAGGTTTAATGACATTTATTGTCCAAATGGTTATCTGCTTGTAAAAGAGTAAAAACATTCAAAACCAGTTTACACACCAAAATACTTCACATTAGGTTTTGTCTTTCCCCTCAAAACTTCCAGAAACTCAAAATAACAGGACGCTGACAAGACACACACATGTAAACACCTTCCTGCAACTTTCCAAACCCTTCCTGTTCAAATCACACACCTCAGGCTAAAGCCATCCGGCGTTTCTTTTTCTTTTTAATGTGAAAACACAGTAAAACACCCAACGGCTGTTTTTCATGTTCTAGCCTGTACTTCTACAATGTAGATAGATACCCACCCCCCAGAAAAGAATTACTCCTACAAGCTAAGAGCTGACCAGGGAAAGCGAAATCCCTCCTTCCAAGGCCCACATGGCTTGGGAAGATTCCTGGTTGAGTGCAGTTGGGGAGCAGGCAGCGCCTTCTCACTCAGGGCCACAGGGCAGACAGGTCCACACTGGCCTTGTTGGAGACGGGACCATCAGAAGCTCGCGGCTGGGACCGATGCAGTGATAGGAAGGACAGTCCCAAGAGGCCAAGGTAGCTCCCCATTTTCTTTCAAGAAGAAGAAGCCCCACAACACTTAATATAAAAACATGTCTTTTTTTTCTTAAAGATAATGCTAATATAGCTAAAAATGGGTTAGAAAGTGCATTGTAAAGAAATAAATAATTCTCTAAAACTCCAAGGTGAGTGGGTGCCCATGGATTTCGCTATGAGAAACACCTTTGGGGGAAAAAAAAAGGCCTATGGCACCACTTTTCCTGAAAACTAGGTCGACAAAGCCCTTGTCCAAACTTGTGGGGCACCTTCGACACGCACCCACCCAGAGTGCCTCTGAAGAACACCGGCTGGGCAGCATATGCTTTCACCAGTTCACCGCGCTGTGTCACTGCAGAGACCGCTAAAACCTGCGTGGTGCCAGCCAGGGGTGTACTGGAGACAACAGGAGCTCTCGTACTCACCCCCATAGATCTCTCAATTTTATGCTTAAAGGAAAAAAAAAAAAACCAGCAAATTTTTGCACAATTCAAAGTAAGCACCCACCAAGGGGTTGGGTCGCACATTAGTGGGGAAGCATTGTGCCAGTTGATGGTTGGTCTCGTGCAGTAAATGTGAGCTTACAAACTGTGTTCCAAAAACCAAACTTCTCATCAGAAAATCCAGCGGTTCTTACATAGGCCCATCGCCAGCAACAGGCTGTCTACACTAGGGAAAGACCATCGCTTCAAAAGTAACGGTCATACTCTAACACTTCCATGTTCAGATTATTAAACAAAGAATTATTTCAAGTCCCAAAAGTGAACTTTCCCAAAAGTAGTCAGCTATAAAAGTTATTGAAGTAGTCAGAGTACTATGTTTCTAGAAAAATAGAGCTATACACAACTGATACTAATTAATAGTCACTCTTTTGAAGACAAAAAAAAAAGTACATTTTCTTCACAAAGCATTAACCTTTCTTGATCAAGGAAAATATAACATATCTTCAAATGTTTGTTGGATATGAAATCTGTGGCAAAGGATCAGCTGTGGATGACTTCCTGCATGCAATGTGGAAAACTGAGCATGCCAAGACATGATGGCTTAAAGACCTACAGACAGACTTTCCCGTACTCACTTTGCTCTCTAAGATATCCAATTTGCATGAACCATCCAATTCTTTCAAAAGCTCTTGGCAAAAGCACAGGCTGTGCGGAAGAAAGTTCCAATCTACATGACCGTCACTATGAAAGGTTTTTAAGACACAATTGAAGATTAATAATTTCAGTTAACAGAGACTAAGTCTTCATTCTCAAAAACAGCCATGCGTTTTGAAACTTTTAGCTCAACATCACTAATACCAGTCTTTGAAAGAAATCAGTGCTGGCAAACATGGATAGAGCTATATAGAGTGACTTTGGTAGAAAAAAAAAACACTTGAGATTTCTCAAGATAATTTAGATATGTAATCTCAGTATTAAATATGATAGCCTACGTGGTTTGCTCTTATCCCCTACAATGCTCCACTGCGTGCAAACTCTTAATTCATTTCGAGAATTTTCTCAGTTTACTAGACTACTCAGCAGTAGAGAATACAGAATAGTAACTGCTCTTATTTCCTGCTAAGTCATGAGTCATTCTGAAAATACGCTGCCATTATGTTACGTTTATGATCGCAAAGGGCAAGTAGCTATTCCCTAAAACATCAAAGGAAACAAACTTGATGATTTTAAAGGGCCAGCAGTTACAATTCTAACAAATAATGTATAACAATGGTGGGGGGGGGGAGAAAAGCAGAGAAATTCCAGTAACAATTTTATTTATCCCCCTAATTCTTACCATGGGAAAACCAGGAATCAAATGTCATTATGTCATATAAAGTTTATACTTACTTTAAACAAAAAAACGTAACATAGTGTTAAAACTGGCTTTCAAAACGTGTTACAGCATAGCTGCACTATGCACTGATAATCACAAGGCTGTAATGTAGAACACTCTATTATGCAGTTCCATTATGTTCTTACAAAAATAGAATTAAACTGTGCGACCAGACAAGGACTTCAATTACACTACTTGGCAAACTTAGTTATTTCAATGGAGTCTATTTTCTCTTGCAGTTCAAAAGCAAAGTCAAATATCACATCTTTTTTTTTTTTGTCAAGGCTCACAAAGATGATTCGGGCTGTTTTTTTGGCACGTTTTTAATCTCTATCACCACAGCAGGGAGGTTGCCTTCAGCTTTAGTCCTCCTGGGCTTCTTCTCTAGATTTTCACTGAGTTCTAAACAAGAAATGCTAACTGTTGAGGCCTTCTCTGCATCCTTTACTGAATGAACTTGAGGCCGTGTCCCACAGCATTGCTTCAGAGCGCACTGAGTTCTGCAGGCGAGTTCACAAGGGACTACACTCGATTTGGAGCCCACGCTAGCAAATTCAGGCTGGATGGTGGTAGCGTGAATTCCGTGATTGTGAAAAACGTCTTTGATGGTTTTGGCCACCTGCATGTATGAAGTCGGGTCCTCACATTTGATGTGAGCGGTGGCAATGATCCTGCTTCCAGCCAGCTGCCAGACGTGCAGCTCATGAACCTCCTCAACGCCTTCCACAGCTCGAAGCTCTTTTACCAAATGTCTGATATCAATTTGCTTGGGAACAGTTTGTAGAAGGATGAGAGCAGATTCCTTAAGCAGCGGGTAGGTTGTGTAAAGAAGTATACAAACCATTATCACACACAGAGTTGGATCTAAGTAGAGCACCCAGCAGGGGCCCGCCTCTAGAACCGGGGCCTGGGTGCTGTTGATGATCTCTATGGACGTTCTGCAGGGGTCACGGAAACATGGGTTTATGCAGAAGTTGTCTTCAGAACAGCCCTGCCATAAGAAGTAAAAGAGCAAGGCGTTCACTACCACAATCACGGAACCCAAGGCGTCTCCGAGGACGTGCAGAAACACTCCCCGCATGTTCAGCTGTGCGGCCCTGTTGTCTTCCGACTCCAGATTGTCGGGCTCCTGGATAAGATTCCCATTGACTTGTACATCCACTGGGTCATCACTTCTGGTTTTTTCTGGCTCTACAACAAAGCAATACAGTTTTAGTTAAACACACTGTAAGTGTTCAGACAAGCATCTTGTGTTGGAGAAGCTGAAACTCACAGGCACAATAAAGGAATGCCGAGAAACAGCACACAACGGATCGACAGTCTGGGCACGGCCAGGCCATAACAGGGAGGACTAAACTGTGCCACTAGGCAAGTTTCTTATTTCCTTCCCACCCCCTCTCCCCTGCCCCTCACTATTGGGCTGGCATCCTGTAAACATTCTGCTGCACGTTTCTGACACTTACAAAGAGAAACAAAATTTAAGACTACCAGTTAAGCTCAGCTGAGGAGGTAAGTCCTCTGACACACCTGATCTGATTTGGAGCTCTTAGTCAGCGGCACTAGCCAGACTGCGTGAGACAGGGGACTTTAAATGTTTAGAATAAATATTACATGTAGTGTCTCCGTAGAGAAGGTTTACAAACTGACAAATCAACACCTGGGGGCTATTGCCAGGTGACGGCGGCGGCACACATCTTTAATCACAGCACTTGGGAGGAAGACGTGGGCCTGTCAATGCCACCAGCCTGGTCCACAGAGTAGGTTCCAGGACAGCCAGGGCTACACAGAGAAACCCTGTCTCAAAAAAAACCAAACCAGACAAAAAAGCACAACCTGTAGCTATCAACGAGGCTGGAACTCGATAATCACTAGGTCACCTAAATGATTGTGTCAGGGCTGGGTGGCTCTGGTGGCCCTTGCCTTTAATCCCAGCACTGGGGAGGCAGAGACGGAGGGAGGGAGGGAGGGAGGGAGGGAGGGAGGGAGGGAGGGGGAGATGGGGAGAGGGGAAGAGAGAGGCAGAGGCAGGCGGATCTCTGGGAGTTCAATCAAGCCAGCCTGGTCTGTCTACAAAGGGAGTTCCAGGACAGCCAGAGAGAGCTACACACAGGGAAACCTCGTCTCAAAAACAAAAACAAAAACAAAACTTCGAGTCAGAGGGGCACACCTGAGTAGTTTCATTTTCCTCGGGATGAGAGAAAACCTTCCCCCCCCATGGACCATCTGAACGTGACCACACACTGGAGAAGTTAGAAACAGCCTCTTGGGCGTGATTTAGCAAGACCCAGACGGCAAGGATCACACACACACACACACACACACACACACACACACACACACACACACACACACACAAAACCGTTCACAGCGAGCATGGGCGGTGCCGGCTGGCCAACACTCACCTTCCAAACTCCCACCAGGAGCACACGTGCTCAGGATGAAGGGAAACGTCCACTAAAACCGCCAAAACCACAAGGGTTGGGACAGGAACACCACCCATCCTTGATAGTCTAAGCACCACCAAGGCCAAAGCCCTCAGAGGTAAACGCGCAGCGTGCCCGGGCAGGCCCCTAACCTGTGGTTTTGTTTGTTTTTATCCCCCCCCCCCCCATTAGATGGTCAACCCGGGGAAACACACACCGCGGCTCACAAAGGCCGCCTCTAACCGGCGCCCACCCACCCACCCGCACCCACACCCACACCATACAAGCCGGCATTCATTGTCAAACTCGTCCAGTGGGGCACGGAACCCACCGCGCCCCCCGGGGGAGGGGCGGGCGTTGCGCGCGGGGCGTGGCACCCACGTCGGTCGCCAGGGGGCGCCCGTCCCCGCCCACCCCAGCCCACCCCGCCGCCCCCCCACCCCCGCTCCCCGCCCCTTCCCGGGCGCTCACCTGCCGGGTCCGCCTTGAGCCCGTTGGAGTTGCTGGTGTTGGCCACCAGCGTGTTGGTCTCCTCCTGGTCCGGCGCCCGTCCCGGCGGCGCGCCCGCCTCGGCCCCGGCGCGGCCCGCCTTGCGCGCGCCCTTGGCGAGGTGTCCGTGGCCGCCGTGGCCGTGGCCGCCGTGGCCGTGCGAGTGGCCGTGGCCCGCGCCCTGGCCCTCGCCGCTGTGGTGGTGGAACAGGCAGAGCCCCAGCACGTTGACCAGCAGCCCCGCCACGCCGACGCCCAGCACCACGAGCGGCTGCTGCATCTCGTGCGGCTCGATGAAGCGCTCGACGGCCTCCAGCAGGATGGCGAAGCACAGCCCCGTCAGGAAGATGGCGTTCACCAGCGCGCCCATCACCTCGGCGCGGATCCAGCCGAACGTGTTCTTCTGCGTGGCGTGGGTCCTCCGGGCGAAGCGCTCGGCCACCAGCGCCACCACGAGCGCCAGCACGTCCGACAGCATGTGGAAGGAGTCGGACAGCATGGCGAGCGACGCGGTCACCCGGCTCACCACCACCTCCAGCACCATGAACATGAAGGTCAGCAGCAGCATGCACAGCAGCCGCCCGCGGTTGCGGCCCCAGCAGCCCATGGCGGCGGCGGCGGCGGCCTGAGGCTCGGCTCGGCTGGGCTCGGCTCGGAGCGGCGCTCAGGCGGGAGCCGGAGCCGGAGAGGGAGCGGGAGCGGCGCTGTGGGGAAACCGCCGGCCGCGCAGCTACTCAAGCGCCGGCGCTCGGCTCGGCGGCGGCGGCGGCGGGACGGACGCGGCGGCGGCGGCGGCGGAGGGCGCGGGCGGGTGACTGCGCGCCGAGGGGACGCCGAGCATCGGACCGAGGCGCTCGGGAGACGGCGTCCGAGGCGACTGCGCTCGGCCCGGCGGCGGCCGCCGTCTTAACCCCCCCCACCCCCTCCCCGCCTTTGCAGACGGTTTACAAAAAAACTTTGCTTTGCACTCGGAACCCCCGTTTTCACACGGACCCGAGCGTGACAAGGCCCCCGTGGCCCCGCCCCCAAGCCCGGCTCGCTGCCTCATTGGCCGGGACGGCCTCACGACAGCCGCGGCGTCCCGCCCCTCCGCGGCCTCTATTGGCTGGCGCGCCGGAGGGGGCGGGAGACGGGCGGGGCGAGGCCGCGGGAGCTGCGGGCGGGGCCTGTGCTCTGGGGAGCCGGGCGTGGGCCGGGGGCCGCGGCCGGGTGCAGCGGCGGGCGGTGCGGGGGAGGGTGGGCGCGGGCCGCGTGCAGCGGAGGTGGGTGGGGGGTGGGCCGGCGGCAGGGCGGCGGCGGCGGCGCCGGGCCCCCGGGCGCAGCGAGCGGTTCCCGCTTCCCGCGCTGCGGATTCCGGGCTTCGGTCCCTGCCGCGCCCGCCCGGCCGCCCTAGACTTTGATCCGGCGCTCCGGGTGATCCGGGTGCACGTGGGGGCGGCTGGGTGACAGGTCGGCGCCCGGGACGGGCGGGGAGTGCGGGCTGTGCGGGCCGGCGGGGGGCGCGGCCGAGCGAGCAGCTGAGCTGGCTCGGAGACAGTTTCCATCCAGCGGGTCGCCCGCAGGGCCACCTCCCCGGGGGGAGCCGTGTGAAGTCAGGCCTGCCTGTCACTGACTCTCCTAAGGTGTGGGGTGCAGACTTGGGGCGGGAGCCTGCTGCGGGACTTGGGGCAGGTCACCTAACATCTCGCTACACCTGTTTTCTTCACCGACAGAGGCAAGAGCTGGGCAAGTGGAACTCCTCTTCCTTCTAGCTAAAATTCCAAGGCTCTGTGATTTCACACTATTTATAGGCTACAAACCTCCGAACTCCTGTGTGGGCTGCCTGGAGGGGGAGGGGCGGCCAGAATACAAAAGGAAAGCACCACGAACCGAAACACCCTTGCTAAGTTGGGCAAACACTCGTTGGAGTTGGCCCTCTGAGGGAGACCAGTTGTGTGGTGTGCACCTGGATGTGCTTAAAGGCCCCCCAGAGAGCTGGGCCACCAAGCCTAGGATGGACTCCCCGGATGCTAGCCAACGCATCGAGATGTGCATGACCTGTGTTGTTTTGCATTTTAAAAAATTCTACTTTTTGACTTTTCGAGAGGGTTTCTCGGTATAGTCCTGGTTGTACTGGAACCGGATCTGTAGACCAGACTGGCCTGGAATTCACAAGAGATCCACCTGGCTCTGCCTCCCGAGTGCTGGGATTAAAGGCAGATGCCACCACCGCCTGGCATGACAACAATTCTGACTCCCAAGATTGCCTCTCACTTGTACAAGATGTTCTCATCTGCGTCCTTGTTTCGCAGAATGGGAAAGCTTGGAGAAAGGTTTGCAACACCGTAAGGGCAGAACTTGGTGATTAACTAGCTGGGTGTTGGGAGGAAAGAGCTGAAGGGGAGAAATTAACGCAGTTATGTTTCGAAACCTATGAGAGAAATGCTGCCTTAAACAGTATTTTATTGGATAAGGAATGGGAGTGGAAACTGTCTTCAAGGGGAACACACTGAATTCCACTCTGAGACACTGAGTTAGCAGTAATAATACCCGAAGGATAGTGGTGTTTGGATTGTTGAGCCTGGGACCCAGTAAACACTTCACACACACACACACACACACACACACACTCACACACTCGCACACTAGCACACAAGTGGGAAATACAGCTTCAAGCTTCCTTCCAGCTTGCCTAATAGAAGTGTAAAACTGGAAGCCACTTACGGTTAAGGCGTCCTTTTGTGTCTGACTGGTCGGTTGGGGGCCATTTTGCTTCCTACTGTGGCCCTTTATTGACGATTCCTTTAAAGCTGTGGTTCTCAACCTTCCTAACACTGTGACCCTTCACTACAGTTTAATACAGCTCCTCATGTTGTGGTGACCCCAACCATAAAATTATTTTCGTTGTTACTTCATAACTGTGATCATGCTACCGTTATGAATCGTAAATATCTGTGTTTTCTGAGGTCTTAGGCCACCCCCGTGAAAGGGGATTTTGACCCCAGAGAGCAGAGACCCACAGGTTGAGAACTACTACTTTAAAAAAGCAGTTTCTGCAAAGCAGAAGCAAATAGGTGTGTAAGGCAGACTTCCCCTGCCAACTGGGCCTTGCCCCTTAGGGGCTAAACAGACCGGATTGGAAGATGTTTACACGGGAAAGTCACCTTTGCAGGCCCTAGCCCCCCATCTGAGGTGCTTCCCTGACGCACATGAACCCCATTTGCCCCACAGTGCTTCATTCCTGCACACCCCCCTGGTACGGGGCGGGGCAGTACAGTTTCAAGATTAGAGAAGTCACAATGGCCAGCCAGCTTCAGAGCTACACAGGGTGGGGACCACATGAGGGGTGCAGTGGTTGCCCAGCCTCAGCAAAGGCCCCGGGGTCCCCGAAAGAGCACAATAGCGGCTTTTTGTTTTTTTGGGGACAGGATCTCACTGTGTAACCCCTGGCTGTTCACAGAGACCTGCTTCCTGAGCCTCCAACATTTGGGATTAAAAGGTGTGAGCCTCTAAGGCCAGGCAGTGGTGGCGCACGCCTTTGATCCCAGCAGCCAGGAGGCAGAGGCAGGTGGATCTCAGTGAGTTCCAGGCCAGCCTGGATTACAGAGAGAGTTCCAGGAAGGCTCCAAAGCTACAGAGAAACAAAGCGGCGGGAAGAAGGTACGTGTACATCCATGACCAGCCCGCCCCTCCCTTTGTGTGGACAAAATGCTTTGGTAGTTTGACTCAAGGTTTTTGGGTTGGTTTTCGTTTTTCCTTTTCCACAAGTTGCCTTAGAAATGTAAGAGATGGTGGTTTCTTCTCGTTTGGTTTCTGTGCTTGAGACAGAATCGAAGCGTGTGGCCCAGGTTGAAGGCGCCCGTCCCTGTCGCCCCTCTCAACTGGTCTTAGCAGGGTTAGCACAGCCCAGAGTGGGTTGGGCTGGAGGGCCGTGTGGGCCCTTACCAGCACCTCCCTAGCATGGGGCCGAGTGAAATAACTTTTTCTTCCTCCTCTCAGAGAATTTGACAGTTTGCTTCACATCCACGCTGACTAAATCTAGCGCACTTTAGAGATAAAATGCCGGCAGTTTTGGACATTCCCAACATGGCTGCAAGGCAGATGTAACAGGTGTCCCTTACTCAGCCCTTGGATCCTGCTCTTGCTCCAGTGGAATTTGGGAAGAACCATGCAGGATTGTGAGAGCCCCAAACACAACCTCTGAATTTATATTATAGAAGAAAAATCACTGTAGGTAGGTGTGGTACTACCTTTTTTTTTCAAATCTCTGCCCTTTGGAGCCAGAGGCAGGTGGATCTCTGTGAGTTCCGAGACCAGCCTGATCTACAGAGTGAGTTCCAGGCCAGCCAGAGCTGTATAGTGAGACCTTATCTTAAAAAAAAAAACAAGGGAAAACAAAACGGTTTAACTGGTTAGGGTATGCGCCCGGCCTGGTGACCTCCTTGATCCTGGAGTCCGCATGGTGGAAAGAGAGCCAACTCTGAAGCTGTCCTCTGGCCTGTACACATAATGTTTTTTCTTGTTTTTGTTTCTGAGACAGGGCTTCTCTGTGTTACCAGCCCTAGCTGCCCTGTAACTAGCTCGGTAGATCAGCCTGTCCTGGAACTCGCAGAGATCAAAGGCGTGTGCCTCCACCATGTGGCTGTCATTTTTTTGTTTTTTTTGGTTTGGTTTGGTTTGGTTTTGGGGGGGGGGGTTGAGACGGGGTTTCTCTGTATTGTTTAGGAGCCTGTCCTGGCACTTACTCTGTAGACCAGGCTGGTCTTGAACTCACAGAGATCCGCCTGCCTCTGCCTCCCCAGTGCTGGGATTAAAGGCGTGAGCCACCGTCGCCCGGCCGTTTTTTGTTTTTGGGTTAAAAAAAATCATTGTAGCTGGGTGTTGGTGGCGCACACCTTTAATCCCAGCACTCAGGAGGCAGACGGATCTCTGTGAGTTCGAGGCTGGCCTGGTCTACAGAGCCAGTTACAGGACAGCCTCCCAAGCCACAGAGAAACCCTGTCTCTAAAAACAGAAAAAAATATCATTGTATAAAGTTGAACCTTGCCTGGAAAGACACCCTCCCCCCCCCCAAAAAAAAAACAAGAAAAAATCTCACCACAGAACCATATGAATACACCAAATTGATTGCATTTGACTTCAGTTGACACTGAGCCACACCCAATGTCCAATCTCAAAGGAAAACCCAGGGGGAAATCAGTTTGTTTATTTTTGTCTTTTCAAAAGCACTTGAGCACATAGGAGCTGAATCTCAAGCAACAACGCGCGGGAGTGCCAAGGTCTGATATTTGTTTAGCTGCCCCCAGAGGAACAAGCAATAGAACAAAGAGTAAACTGGGAACAATGTAGCGGTGAGGCTCAGGAATAGCACAAAGGTCCCAGTGGTCCAAGGGAAACATAAAGAAACCTGGAGGAGCAGGAAACCTTCTGGAGCAAAGGGGAAGCCTGGACGTGTGGAGGAGACACCTGCCTGGCCATAGCTGGGAGGCTCCGCTTTTGTCTTCCTTGGTGGAACTGCAGGTGAGGCTGGCATCAGAGAAATGCTTTATTCCGGGACACTGACATGGAGCCCGAGTTCTGTGGTCGTGTCAGGAAGTTAAGGCATGTCGCCTACATAGCAGTGCTTCCCAGAGGCATTAGGGGCTCAGGCACGTGAGTCTAGCCGCTCTGGAGACTGAGGCAAGATGCTCCAGAGTTGGCAGCATGTTCAGCGAGTCCTTTGCAAGGCACACGGGCTGTCAAAGGAACCACAGCGCTAATTTCACCCAACAGAACTCCATGTGAATAGGACCCAGTTTTGGAACTAGAGGACCAGACCTTGGAGTGACCTGCTAAAGAAAGGCGTCACTCACAAGCAGGCCACCTCCCCTTAGTGCTTATAGTAATTACAATGTAACAAAGGTCTGCTGAGTGAGTTTAAGAC